TATATATACATCGGCTATAGATGAGTCTGTTCTTGTTACCAGGGGGTGGCATTCGATAGCACAACCACTATACATCGACTAATACATAAATAGAAACCCTCTATTTATGTGTATGTATATATACTTACACATCCACTATACATCGACTATTACCTATATACAAACCCTGAACTTATGTGTATGTATATATACTTACACATCCACTATAAACGGACTAATTTGTAATCGTGATGCACACCTTCAAAAGCAACTAGTTTTTTGTGTATTACGTGTCTGCATATGTTTGGTTTTGCACATGTACCACTACTTCATACAGGTGGTACTTCGCACCATGTACCCAATCGGTTTTAGTTAAATACCATATATATACACTCGCATCCGGAATACACCTACATATATACATATCTAATCTGTGCTCTAATGTGATTCCACATACACTCAGCCGTGCTTGTCCTTGACGATGCCTATCAATCGCTGTACTTTGAGAACTTTCTGCTGGGTATGCGCAGTCACAACTTCCGCGTGAGCGAGCTGTCGTGCCAGGCCATTCGCATAAGCCTGACGAATGCCACAGATCTTGCCAAGGGGTTGCTAGGCAACCCACCGGATTCTCGAGTCCGCTCTGCGATGGGATTCCTACAGAAGTACTATCTGGCAGTGCTACCGGTGGCACTGGATGTACTTCTGGATACCGCTCTGGAATCAAGTACGTAGCAATGCAGCACACGAATGGAGTGCGTGGCAGTGCAGTCTGTGTAGTTGTATTGCGCTTTATTGTCAAGCGGTGAATGAACCGTGACAGCTGAATGTGACTTGGTCTGGTATTAGGTTCATAGTGTTTATCAGTTGTCTATTTGATAACCCCACGCAGACTTCACAACCCATCGCCCTCTATTAGGTGTAGGTAAGATAGTTTATGCATGGGTATGTTTTCTGACACGCATGGTTGCATGTCACGGTTTGGCCATGGCTGTGATACCTCTGGTACCAATAGAGGAGGCAAGTACAATATCCTTTGCATCTTTTGTTTCCAAAGTTATAGCGTGTCATGTCACCCCACACAACACCCCGAGGGGTAGCTGGGTGGGACTCGGACATGCCCTTGTTGTTAGCGTGTTTTGTGTGTGTGTGAGCGCTACTCAAACCACACCCTCCTGAAATCACCGCAGGATTCTTCGACACCTGCGCACTGCTGTCCATGATGGTGCGGCTTTTGACACAAGATCAGGTACCGGCACTCTACCCTGACTGTGAGCCTATGTCGGGTACTACGGACGCGCCCAACGACACGGTCGAGGCCAACACAACAGCGGCGAAGAATGTGATTGCCTCGCATTTACTTAACACTCGCGGTAGGCTACAAAGGTGAGTCTCGTGACTCATAATAGGTCTATTTAAAGTTATCACTGGTTGTTTCTGTCTTTGCCATTAATTTGGTCGGAATGTTGAAGTTGTTTGCGATACAGTCAGCCAGAAGGATTTCTTGCACATGCTTGGTCCGGCTGTTGGTACGTGTATACGTACATGCATACCATACATACATACATACATACATGCATGCATGCATGCATACATACATACATACATACATACATACATACATACATACATACATACATACATACATACATATATACATACATACACGCATACTTTCATACATACATAATATACATACATACATACATACATACATACATACATACATACATACATACATACATACATACATACATACATACATACATACATACATACATTACGACTGTACGTATGATTTATGGCTGCTCAGGCAAATAATCATTTGCTGCATTGGATACATGCATCACGATCCACTTCTATATGTACAGTGCCAATGTGATACACTTTACTCTTCGGCTGGAGCCGAGAGTCTGTATTCAACAATTTGCTATACCTGTATGTACATCTTGATAGGATTCTGTAGTACTGACACGCTTTCTACTGATATTCACAGATCGCAGGTGCTGCAGTTCTGTGACCGTGTCTTCCTGGACTTCGGCAACGTACGGGCCTTAGGCTTTGTTCTAAAGGATCTCATGAAGGCGATCAAGGTATTGGGATCTCAACTCGCCGCTGTTTCTATTCATGTGCGTGACTATTCATTCCACTCATGTATTTTCGAAGACAGTGCGGTTCAATCCCCTCTGTTTTTTGCTAAATGTCTCTATATATTTTTTGTGGCTTTCGGTCTAAAGGATTTGTGTATCGTACGTTTTTCCATTGTCCTTGCGCATTCAACAGTCAAGCGAAGTAGAACCAGAACACGGGGAGGAGACACTGCATATCTGAGCCGACACCTTTATCCGATTGAGTGGGGGGGAGGGTCCCTGTTTGTCGTACGCTATATGTAACCATTGAATTCTCCAAGGAACAGAGCTCAACAAGTGGCCTCTGAAGTTTGATCTCCGCAGACTCTACAGGCTAGAGGCGAACCATCACGGGCAGTGCTAGGTGCATGTCCATAGGGCACCTTAGATGCCGACGTGACGGAACAGACTCTGGCTATTATATGGTGAACTCAACTTGCAGTGCACTACGCCGACAACTAGTGACAGCGAACGACCGGGAGCATGCACAAACCACGTGCTCGATGGCCTCAGTAGAACAGTGGCAGATAGCACAATTCAATACATGTGAGAATTGTAGTATAAACGCTTTGGATATGTGGAGCGACGGTGAGCCTTAGAGCTACTAATCGATACTCCATATCGAAAAAGCACCGTATGAAGTACATATGGTTTTTTTTAAAGACAAAATAGGGCACGAAATGTGTGTCCGGATACATCAATAAAATTGATATAAAGAAATTGCAAATATTTGTTATCAAATTGTGCTCACATCATGTACAATCCCTGGATCATTGTATACATACACGTCGACATATCCACATACGAAACCATACACCATACCACGACATTGTCAAACGTTTGTGTGTCTATAAAAGTTAATATGGAACATTTTCATACTTCCCCTCCTCACACACACCCTGAGTCGCATTAACATGGCAGGGCGTTCTCTAGTTGTGGATTTGCTACAATACCATTCAGACTACGCAGAGAATGCCGAATCAGTGCAGCGCTCATAATTGTTAAAAAGTGAATCCTCCATACTTTCACTCCCGTACTAGCTCGCATCAAGGTGTTGCCGCTTTCGCCGAAATCTATTCCAATTGCGAGTTGATATTTTCTACAGATGCTTCGAAATCCTTCCGAGCTCCAACACTGATTTTCTCGTTGTCGTTAGTTGTGTGATGTAGGGCATACAATCGGTTAGGGAAAAGACTGCCTAATCTGAATTTTCTGGTCCGTTAATTGCGTGATGTAGGGCATACAATCGGATAAGGATAAAACTGCCTAATCTGAATTTTCTGGTCCGTTAATTGCGTGATGTAGGGCATACAATCGGATAGGGATAAAACTGTCTAATCTGAATTTTTCTGGTCCGTCATCTTGAATACTGGTTTGTTGCGCTTCGACTCGTGTCAAATTTCATCTCTGGTTGGCCTTCAGCTTCCTCTTGGCGCGTACGAAGGTGTGGATTTATAATACTGTGCGCCGCACTCCGACAGTACAGTTAGCAATTTATATTCAGTACCCTTTCGTTCAACTTTTCTAAAATATTTTTTCTCTTGCAAGCTTCGCAAGTTGCCATAGGGTTCTATTGACTGTATTGTATTAACTCTGTCATTAATAAGCCTAATTCGGCTTCAATTGCTCACGCACACGATTTCGCTCGAGATAACTTCGATTATTTGTGTTACGAGTAATGTAGCTGGTTATACACTTTTATGACAATCTTGTTGCAGCTTCCAAAGATGTTTCTGGAATGAATATTCCAGTGAAAAACATAGCTTGTATGTTTGCCATACAACATACATTTTATGATACACACTTGTATACTGGTACCATTCTCATTCCAGGTTTCCTGTCTAATTTGTTCTCAGCTACTTTTGTTACTGCGAACCTGTTTGGCTTCTAGTTTGATGATCTTTGGCGTGGCTATCGTACCTTTCATACGTCTAGTCGTCTTGTGCTACATATTAACGGCGTACTGTGCACAACCACTCCCTCAAATTTCCTTTAGAGTCACATTCTTCTCGGCTCTGAAAAACTCGTTGTTCTAGACTTTCTTTCCATATCCCGTTGCCCGTGGTCTCTGTCGGCTCCTGGTTGGCTCTTGCCTTAAATATACTGTCCCCGGTGTGTCAGCTCCCTCTCTGCCAATTGCTGAGGTACGTTAGTGTCATATTCCCTTCGGATCTCTTTAAGTCCCTGTACTTGACTTTCTTTTTCTAAATCATTCTCTTCACTCTCTATCGGCTTCTGATTGGCTCTTGCCTTGAATATACTGCCCCCGATATATCTGCGTGTTATATTGTACCAGCTCATCCGCGTCTTGCTGTGGTGGCTTTGGTCTGGCTATTGTACTTTGCTTACCTTTCTTTTGTTGTGCTATGAACGACATGGTGTGCACTAAACTCAAACTTCGTTAGTGACATATTCCCTTCGACCGCCTATATTTCCCTGTCATTCATGACTTTTTCCGCATTCGGCTTGTCTCTGCTCGCTGTATCGTACTGTGCTGTTGTAATTTTATTCTTCGATCTTCACCTTTATGTGGTAGGGTCACTCTGCGGCCCATATTTGGACCATATTCTAATTCAAATCAATGTCCGTCTCTGCACCTCACTTTTTTACTTTTTGACGGATTGCTTTTATGTCACATCGTGCTGCGATAAGCTCCTTTATGGCTTCGAGTGCATATCATCGCCGTGTCCTGTTGTAATTACAATTTGGTGGCTGTAATTGATGCACCTTCTTCAACCTCATTTATGCTATATTGTCGATCTCGCACACTTTCTTTGTTCTTCTTGCCGTGCTTGCTTCATCTCCGGTTCTTCTTGTGTTTTCCTTGCTTCGATTTTTACGATATACTGCCTTTTTTTACATCTAATTGAGCTAATTGAGCTGTCATCATTTAGTATGCTATCCCTAAAACCAATTCTGTTATTGTTCTAATTCGGTCGCTCGTGCTAATCTGGACTCGGTTTACAGCAGCTCCAGTTTTATCTCTTACATTACCATGTCTTATTTTGACCAACCACTGAGGTGCTTCCTCTGACTCGGCCTTAGTGATAGATATATTTCTCTGTATCCTGTTGGGTACTTAATTCACTTATATTTTCTTAATTTCAGCCGCCTCTTTTGTTTTCTTAACCTCGACTTCCAATGTTGCCCATTTCTCACTGCCTGCCTGATATCGTCGACATGCTCCGTTTCCGGCGCTTCAAGCTTAGAATAACTATTCAGTGATGTTCTTTCCTCTGATCTAAATTTTCCTTACATTTTGCGCGCCAGAATGGCTAAACAGGCCTTTTCTGTACTTCACGATGCTCTTGTATTTCTCCGAATTGGATATTTAATCATGAAATTAAAGTGATACTGCTCTTAGAATCAAGTTGATGTCCTACTTTGGTTCGCTTCGGATATACCTTCGGCGTCTTGGCACCCTGGACGACCCTGTCAGCAAAAGTTGTAGTTTCGATAAATGATACTGTTGATTAAACTACTATAATAAAAGATTCGCCAAACCTGAAGGATGTAAGGGGCATAGAATTCACGCCTTCCGGGTTGGGGAGATTCATTAGATTAAATGGCTTTTGTCGGATGGAGTAGACTATGATATCCTTTAAAAAGTATTCAGAATATTAAAATTTGCCTATCGGTAGCCCAGCACTAATAGAAAAGAAGAGTTCATTGTCTCATCCCCCTGTCACCCTTGCGGATAGTAAAAGACATCGTGGCAGGTAAACCTTTACTTACAGGGCGGAACTGATTAAATTTTTCAGGCATATCAGGTTTCGGACGTCATCGTGGCAGGAAAACAAATATATATCTGATTTTGGACTCTTCATCTACAGGAGGTTAAACTTCCAATTTTGCGACTCTATTATTCCTTCGAATTGACTAACTTGAATCAAGTAGTCAGAGCGATGCAGTCTTTAGGTCAAGTTGATGATATACTTTCCCCCCCTTCGAATACGCATTTTAATAGCTTTTTAGCTTCCTGAACGGCCCTTTCAGGATGAATTGAAGCTTGAATACATAATATTTACAGTCGATTAATATTGCTAAAGTATCAAACTCACAACTGTCGGCGATTCATTGGGCTATACGGCGCCTGTCCAAAAGGGTGGACTGCAGATGCCATTTAAAATGTTTTTTTTTTAAATACCAAAACTCGCCTGTCAGTAGTCCAGGTTAAAAAAAATCTCAAAGCGCCTCATCTCTTCTTTACCTCTGCGAGTAGTGAAAAAAATCATCGTGGCAAAGAAAAAAAATCGTTTCCAGGACGGGATTGATTGAAGACTTCGTGCACAGTATTAGACAGGAAGGCATCAACCTTTGCTATTGTGTGAAAACCTGTGCACTGTATATTTGATCTGAAAGGTTGGTATATGCATGTACAGTATTTGGGAGGCTTTCACTACTGACAACTAACTTTTCCTAACTATCAATTGCTCCTTTAAATGTACAAAAACTACTCACTTCGGAACATTTTCAAAACCTGTGTAGTATCGTTTAGCTCAAAAATACTGTCAGCATTGACTTTTTCTTTTGGATAGAATCTAGCTCACAGCGTAGAAATTTGTTTTACTCGCTTTTTGTTTATATTTAAACTTTATAGTACTGTCCTCCACGGCTGCGGCATTCGTCCACCTTCCGCTTTCGAATCGGTCGGCTGTGACTCGTTCGTCGTTAATTTCTTACAGCTGTCTTCGTTTTCGTGAACATTCGCCTTCTTGAGTTTTATCCCAGATGCTGCGAAAATAACGATGAGTCGTATAAACGAATTTGTTTGGCTGATGAACGAACATCTGAAGTCCTCGATGTTAAGACAAAAAAAAATCGACTACGAACTAAACAGCACCAACCATATCAAAAGTTGAAATTGACCCACCGGGTTGCGCTAGCTTAGGGGATGGGATTTGGCTCAGGGGGTGGGAAATGACTCTAAAGTTGGGATATTATTTCATGGGGTGGGATGTAATTTCAGGGCCAAGGTAAAATTTTGAAGCTGGGATATGAATATGGGGGCTAGGGAAGGAACACTGTCGTGCAATCAAAAAAATACCCGAGGTCACTGCACAGCAGAATAGTATGGAAGACATATTCAGTCAAAGAAATCATCGCATGTTGACATGGCTGTAAAGGCGCGTGATACTGTGCTATTACCGATAAACATACAAATTTATGATCCGATTGAAAGGCAGCGTACTATTCAAAATCTCTCGATGTAGACAAGTTTCGTAAACTTAGTGTCTTCATAAAATCGGTATGAATGTTGCAATATATATCATGCAGACACACACATAATTGTACCACATTTACTAAATGAACTCCCGTACCGTTGCAGTTTGTAAAAGTATAGACATAGCTTCATGTACTACATTCGTATGCCTTTCTGGATCTTCAATATCTCGATGAAGTCCTTCGTCCATCTTCAACTGTTAGTCTATTTCCGTTCTTCCAAATCCCAAATCACTCAAACATTACCCCAAATCACCCAAACATTATCTCAAATCAGTAGACGAATCAAAACCCAAATCAGTAGAAGAATCAAAACCCAAATCAGTAGAAGAATCAAAACCCAAATCAGTAGAAACATCACCCCAAATCACCCAAACAATACCCAGAATCACCCAAACATTAACCCAAATCAGTAGAAACCCTATATATATATTTATATATATATATATATGCAAACAAGCACACACACTCACTCATATATATATATATATATATGTGAGTCCGGCGATGTTTGAACTTTAGATGTCTAATAGATTTAACTATAGAATCTGTCCAAACTCCGGATCGACGTAATCTGAGCCTGTATGATGTATGATTAGAGGCAGAGTGAGCATTTTGATAATTTTATAGTACTTTAAGCGGCTATGGGACAATTTTACATCTCCGAGATCTACGGTGATATGCTCACCCAGTGAACAAAATCCCGAGGTTGCCAATATTGACTATGTAAGTTAATTAAAATCTTCAGTGGCCAGCGCCAAGTCCTTGCTACAACAAATACGGCCTCTGTCAGTGTACAATGTAGTAGCATAATAAATGACTACACACTGGGCTCCATGCATATTCTAAAATTTGACAGGGTCGGGAGACATTCACTTGGATGGCGCGGTATATAATAGCCATTGATATGATTTGCAGCCTTTAATATGCGTGGTTAATTCAGAGGTGAACATGAGGGAATACCTAGCTAAAATACGAAAGGATGGTCTATTGTTGGACTCTCATACTACATGCGTACTTTTGCCGATCTTATACTTAGAAGTAGAAGTTTTGTAGCCATGTTATTGGTGTTAAAAAAGTAGTAAAGTCATTGCTTTAACCTTTTGTATCTCAGGGAAGGAACTTTTATTATATATTTTTTTAGTTCTACTATTCATATATATCGACTTGGCGATAAAGCGGCATTCAGTTTTGCATTTATAACATGTCCACCGCCTACCGCCTTTCTGTCAATGTACCCCTTTTGTATCTTGTCAAAGTATGGTGGAAGAAATAAACGAATTTCGGTCAACTATTCTTTACCAGAGATCACTGGCAAACGCGTCCTCCCGACCAAAAGACAATAATACTAGGCAGAAGGTATTGGTATTGAGCTGAACGGGGTATGTGTTTGCGAGTGTATCAGTGTATTATTGATACACGGCGGGATAGGAATATTACCATGTACTCCAATTGGGGTAAGTTGTTATGCGTCTACATGCGCAGTAGGCTTCATATTTGTTAGAAAGGTACTGGGATGATTAAAGGGAAGTTGTGATTGTCGAGCTGCCGTGAGAAGCTAGGTGCGAGTGATACAACGATGGAGGAAATACGGTGAGTTAATTTCTCACTTCTGACGGTCAAATTATTTGCTGGTAAAAGAGCAACTAACATTTAATTTTCATTGCGGAAGACATTCTATAGCAGTCTATAGCAGTAGGTAATAACATGCGAGAATCGTCATAAATGATCCAAATGGCCTGTACCTTCCCAAGCCTTTTTCACTGATGCAGAGCGACTAGTTTATACGCCTACTCGACACATGCAAATCATGACTACTTAACGTTTGTGGAATAAACCGTGAACCTGAATCTGAAACTGAAAGTGGATAAACCACACTTATTGCAATTGAATAATTGAAAAGACCGGACATTCCGTCATATTCATAGTGTATATCGCGATGTTCGCGGCAATGTACAGAAAGTAAAGACGTATAGGAGCAGCCAAAATGAAGAGACACTGTTAGAAGGCAAAGTGCCATCCGTATTCAATTGAAATTGCTATTCGTGGACAGAACGATGTTGTATCTTCGGCATTCAGACTTGACTGGTATGACAACTGAGCAAGCTTGTCTATATTTTCAAAACTTGCCTTTATATAGATACAACATGCTATCTATTCATATCAACTCTGAAAGAGTTGGAAGGCATACTCACCAACAGAGCGGATGGCTTAAATAAGACTGTCAAACTTGCATTAGTTTTTGTTACCATCCAGGAAGAGCAAAATCGACTTGCGTTGCTATGTGATACGCAAGTTATAGCGAAAGAATAATGCGAGGCAGTCGAAAGACCCTCAGGCTTTTGGTCAGTTGAAATGTGGGACGATTTTGATCGATCTCAAGTTTACAGCCTTTGTGCAGGAGAATGAGACTGTGTGTGCAAATGCACCGCACACACCTAGATGAGTGAGCGCAAAACATGCCAATCGAGCGAGTAGAGAGTTTTATAGTGCCAATTGATAAATGCACAATTTCACATTCGTATCTTCACGCTCGTAATTATTTTTGGGCTCAAGCACTAAAACTCTAGATATAATAGACACACTTGCGTATTGAGTATAATTATTTGTATGTGCATACGGTTTTCATTTATTTGTGATATAATCAAAATGTTACGCACGCGCGTGTATAACTGTACTCTTGCTCTCTGGCCTTTTTCAGTTTTGGAGGTGGTGGTTGAGAACTTCTGACGGCGAACACATTTCACGGTAAAATAAACTTGATAACAAACTGTCACAGAATATACATAGGTACGTATACACTTGGGTGTATATAGAAATAGATATGAATGGGCTAGATCGTCGCCCAAAATTTTCATTTCGTATCATGCGGCGCACTAGTCATGTTTGCATGTATCTATAAACGTTACCTGAAATTTGATTCAGAAGTGTATAGAAGTGCTGGTACATAATTCAAACCTCGAGATATGGAGTCGACCTCGCACCGGTGTGATCCTGATTTCTAAGATAACTTTATTTGTTTAGTGCACAGTTTTGTAACGCATGACGTTTCGTATTCTCTCGACTATAATTCTCGTGGCATTTCAAGACCCTATGCTGTCCGTTCACCGGCGGCGGAAGACCTGCATCCCAGAGTGCGCAACTACCTGATACACCCGGCAAATACATCACCTACGCAGACTCTAGTACAAAGCTATTGATGTTCTAATTTGCAATTAGTTCGGAAGATAATGGTCCTCGTGCTCGATTGCCTCGTGCTCTCGATTGACCAACAGTAGGCCAGCATCCCAGATCTGCTGCAGATTCTGCCTCTCCGCCGTCCCATCCAGCAGCGAACCGGGCTTCACCGCTGGGTACAGCTCAGCATAGGACGCACAGTACACACCGTCTGTACGCACCATCACATGGTCTCTCGATACACCCGCCGGAGAGTCGTATCCTGTGGAAGTGAAGTGCGCAGATGTAGGTCAATAGATTTGTGATTTCACTGTGTGCATACGTCTGATAGTCGTGTGCGTATTTTCTCGCCGCGCTCGCCTTTCATCGAGTCCATGTGATCCTCCTCGGTGCGTTAACGTGGAGAAATTGAACCCGAGGGATACACATACACCCTACATACATCCACATGCTTGAATATGCGCATGTAACTGCTTATAGTATACACTGAAGGATGCATACATACCGGCAGCTCCGATGATGTGCAGGGCGGCGTCTACGGTGTTCTTCTGGTAGTTGAAAACGCGCACGCTCTTGTCGTTGGGATCCAGTCCTGCCATCAGCGCTGGGTTTTGGGTGGCTACGCCTGAAGGGCATTTGTTCTGTGGTGTGGCGGAACGAAGAATTCGAGTGAAAAGAAGATAGAGTAATGTATTTTAGTTTTCAGTAGAACATACAAATACAGAATTCTTGCTAGGAGAAGTGCAAGGAAAGGGATGGATATATAACGCGTGGATTCAGACCCCTATGATTTATACGTAGATGTGTAATATAAGATAGTATATCTGCTGGTACCAATACACAATGCTTGCTAGAAGTGCAAGGAAAGGGATGGATATATAACGCGTGGATTCGGACCCCTATAACGCGTGGATTCGGACCCCTATGATTTATACGTATATGTGTAATACTAGATAGTATATGTGCTGGTACCAATACACAATGCTTGCTAGAAGTGCAAGGAAAGGGGATGGATATATAACGCGTGGATTCAGACCCTGACTGATTTGTAAGTAGATGTGTCATACTACCTAGCAGCGTCATTTTTGTTGCCTCGCTCGCATTTCCTTCTTAGTAAAGCGTTTGTTGATCCACATTGTGCGCATCGCAGATAAACGTAGTGAATGGTGATTTCACATCACACGCACGCACGAATAGAGATAGGTAGCTGTCGTCATAATAGCCTAAATGGTTCAGCTCGAATGACAATATACGTTAATATACGTTTTAAAACATATATGTGCGACTATATCTAATGTAATTATTGGGGCACGTATACAAATAAAGTGTTACATAAGTTTGAAGGCCTAAGATAGAGTTATTGGCACGTGCGTGCATACGCAGAGCCAACTGACAGGTACTTGAAGCGGCCACCCAGTACAACATAGCATACCACATCGTCAGATGTACACATACAAACCGGCTTTTCTTCACCCACAGCGCTACCAACTGCACCTGCGTGCACAATATACTACACTACACAGCCCCATAATAACCTGAAGTGGTGTATGTGCACACACACACGTACAGAACATCACCCAGACAGCACCCTTACCGAATCACATTTGAGCGCCTGTATGCAGCCCAGGGCAAACATCATGGCACGCGCAGAGTTGCAGATATCCGCACCCAGCGCCAAATTCCTAACCACACTGAAGCCACTGATAACCTGGATCACAACGCGAGCAAGATCAGCATGTTAGCATATCAGTATATGAAACTACCCAACCATAACCAGTTGCGGTACGACGTATTAAGGTGTATATGTAGTACGACGGAATAAGGTGTATATGTAGTACGACGGAATAAGGTGTATATGTAGTACGACGGAATAAGGTGTATATGTAGTACGACGTAATAAGGTGGATATGTAGTACGACGTAATAAGGTGGATATGTAGTACGGCGTAATAAGGTGTATATGTAGTACGACGTAATAAGAAGTATATGTAGTACGACGTAATAAGGAGTTTATGTAGTACGACGTAATAAGGTGTATATGTAGTACGACGTAATAAGGTGGATATGTAGTACGACGTGATAAGGTGAAAGTACGACGTAATAAGGTGTATATGTAGTACGGCGTAATAAGGAGTATATGTAGTACGACGTAATAAGGAGTATATGTAGTACGACGTAATAAGGAGTTTATGTCGTACGACGTAATAAGGTTTATATGTAGTACGACGTAATAAGGTGTATATGTAGTACGACGTAATAAGGTGTATATGTAGTGTGCCGGGGGGTGTCTACACACCACAGGTGCAAATGAGAACAGCCTGTCTAAATGTAGAAAGCACATGTGTGCTCCGCCGCAGCTATGTCTGTGAGTGATCAGTGGCGTATATCCTAAATGCTTACTGAGTCGCACTCTAGCATACACAGCAACATAGATGCGTGTTTATGCATTCATGTCGATGATACTTTATTCCAACATACAGATACACACTTGAACGTATTTATACGCATATATTTATATATATATATATACATACACATTTACATATAGTCCAAGTCATACCTTTCCGGCAGTGATGATCTTGACTTGGTCTCGGATACCAGCACCAGTCAGGATATCATTTACGAAGGTGAGGCCTTCAATCAAGGGCATGCCCACGCTGTTCGAGAATTCTGGGGGTGCCGCACCTATTTGCATGTTCATCGGATGCAGCGGACAATAATTAATGTGTGTGGTGAATGTGGTGAATTGTACTGAATCCCCACTCGAGTCGGTACAGGAAACCTAGTTTGCCCTGGTTGTGAAGAAGCTTAGCGTGTAGAATTAGTTTTCCGTTGTATATACGTGACGGCGTTGGCGCGTGTGTGTGTATAATAGAAATAATTAAATAGAAATTAATATCAAGTATACCGTATCTCCGAATGCCAGTCTTTAAATAACTGCGGTGCAATTATGACAGTACGTATATTTTCGAACGTGTTGTATTCTATATGCGAACCGACTCAAATCAAGCGTAGATACTGAGGATATGTGAAGGACCAATGTATACAGCATTTACACCAGGCACACACACATATATATATATATATATATACGGTACCTGTGCCTCCCTCAGTTCCATCAACAGTGACGAAATCAGGAGCGATATTAGTCTTTATCATGGCAGCCACGAGCGATGCGAACTCCTCAGGACGTCCAACACACAGCTTGAAACCTGTCAGTGTGATATGTGTTAGTATATTGGCAACAACAGACAATGGTAGAGTGCACTACCTATGACGATAGACTTTACTTTAAGAACACTTCGTTACATGACAACCTTTTACACGAGAGACATCAACTATGCGGTGAACTATACTTCCCTACCTTACAGAAGACGGGACTGTTTTACCAATGCCATGGGCATGAAGCAACCGGGTTTCCCGCATAGTTGTCTGACACAAACTCGATCAATAAGCTGATAGGCTACTATAAAACCACAATACTACGCATAAACTGCCAGCGACAAGTTCGTCAGTCGTCGTAACGCAGTAGCACTCAACAACGCAATTGTCTGGTATGCTGAAGACAATAATAAAGCGACCTTGTACTCGCACCGTATACATCAGTAAGTACTATTTTGATTGTTGTGTCGCTTGATTGACTTCAACAGAGAAGACTATTGACACGAACACACAAACACACACTATATATATATATATATAATATATAATATATATATATATATATATATATATATATATATATATATATATATATATATATAATATAAAATATATATATACATAAATAATATAACATAACATAATATATATTTATATATATACATATGTATTTGCATATATATACATATATATATATATATATAATATATATATATATATATATATACACAAATAACATAGTAGATAA